AATTTTAATGCGACATTCACGCAAGCTTTGAAAATATCATTTATTGGTAATGATATGAAAGTGTGTGACGAATTGAACCATTAGTCCAAACGCAATGCTGATTTAACTGGTGCGAAAGATATAACAAACATATGACACCAATGCAGGATATTAGCAAATATGTAGGAGTCAGTTTATGCAACCTTGCTGTAGTATACTTTCAGAATAAAACTCCGCCTCAATTAGGTCTTTTGAGGTTGTATCGTGGTCTGGTTCACAGTTATAGAAACAAAGGATATAAGGCTCAAAATTTAATTTTAACCCACCCCTTCTTTGTGATGAACTCCAGTCCTACATTCCGTTAATTCTACACACGCACTTAGAGCTTGACGACGTAAGCTGGATGATTCAAGGTATGCTCGAAATGGCAGTCACCCTATTTTTCTTTTGTAACGGATGTCAGTGACCCTTTTGATTTTGATATAGTAGCCACTGAATCTTATTTTGTTTTTTTTTTGTTGAGGACTTGAGGGCCTCTTTTATTTTTGCTTTTGATCCCTAACTTTTGCATGGACTGATTTTGCTCTTCGAGTCCATCGGGATTGCCTTGATTTTTGCGTAAGCAGACTTTTTCTTTTATTTTTATTTTTGAAAGGATTGTGACTGCCAAGTCATTGGTTATTGATGAACAACCGTCATGTCTTTTGGATGTTGTCTCATGATTCGAGTGCGTAATCAGGTTACCTGAACACTACCCATGCCCCAGGTTAAGTGTAAGGGTTTAGAAATCCGAAGGAAACTCTTACTTCTAGGCTCGAAGTGGTTGACTAGGGACTAACTCCTTATTTCTCCAGTGTTTGGGGATTTGAAACACTGCCTGTACATCATCGGCGAGATTTTATCCAAAAGCATACTATCAACAATTATGGGTATTATGTTTTCGTCATCCTCCCTCAAATCTTTGCTAAACAGCAGTGCGATAAAGGAAGTGAATTGAAATTATTATTTTTATGATTTTTGCGAAAAATGGGAAAATGTGAGTGAATATGAATGATTTTTGCGAAAAATGGGAAAACATGCAGAATTATCACATTAACAATACCATTAATAAGAAACAATGTCTAAAAACAAGTAGCACTTAACATAAAAGAAACTACAAATGCACAAAAATGATATGGAAACTGCTAGCATTGATGAACTGGATTTTCTTTCTTGCTTCGCAGTTGTCATAACTTTTGGCAGCTGTTTCATCTTGCCTTATGCGTTGTTCTCGTCTTTTCTCAGCTCAACTTGATTCTACTTCAAGCGTTCCATGGTCTTCCAGCACTATTTCAAGTCCAATACTTGTGTCGGGAAATCAACGGTGGATTATGGACAAAGGATGTATAAGGTTTTTGGCTGAGAGAAGATATGCAATGCAAATGCAATAATATGCAAAATGCAATGCAGGCACAAACAGGATCCAGGATAACATAAGCAGGTCAAAGCACCCTAATAGGTAGACTCTAAGGAAAGTTCTAGATTCTTTACCCACAGAACCACTCACGGGATAGCTTCTATGTTGACGGATAAGGTTTCTAGGATCATAGACACCAATCGCATCAACATCATGCAACATGCTAGCTGCATTATGACAGTAATACGAAAAGGTCTCTCCTGAGCGGAGTCCTCATGCTAGGCACACGAGGAGCGGGTCCTCGGAGACTAACATTACATGACCACCAATATAGAAACTAGTTCTAAGAGTGGTTCCCAGAGACATGAACCCTTCATGAATCAAGTCGTGTGACAGGTTAGCTGCGTTACAACAAGATCTATGAAAATGTCTACTCTTAGGGGAAGCTTTTATGCTATGCACACAAGGAGCGAGTCCTTGGGGACTAACACTACGTCCATCGTACTCAACGGGAACCTCTTGATTCGATTCGAGAGTAAAGTTAGCTATGCTTGTTTGTTTTCTTCTAAATTTTTTCTTCTAAGGGGAAAATGGGTGGTTTTTAGATAGGGTGCTCGCCAAGGATTAGGGCCCTTGTGCCTACGTACTCCCTTGTGCAATGGGAAATTCAGAGCATCGTAGTTCGTGGGACTACGGGAAAAGGAGGGAAATGTGGGATTGTGGGGAAATGTTGCGGGTGATTAAATCTGAGTCGCGGTGATGTGTGTTTGCGGAGATGGGTTTCTGAAGGTCGAATGGAGTTTTGGAGATGAGGAATGATTGGGAAGGGTTACGCTTGTGGGTCACGATTTGAGATTTGAAGGAGCTTCGTTTGGTTGAAGGGGTTTGAGATTGAAGGGTGTTGAATCGTGAAGTTGAGGTTATGAAAATCTGGGTTCCATTTGGTTTTGGAGAAGGAAGGTATTGCGAGTCTGTGAATGGAGTTCGAGGGTTGAGAATGGTTTTCTGGGTATGTGAAGGTTGGACGGTTGGGTTTTGCTTCTGGGTTTTGAAGAAGAAGTTGAACGGGTTTTGAAAGTTATTTTTGTTAAATTTTTGGAAATGGGTTGTTGGTTGCGAGTGGAGAAGATGGAAGAGGGTCGAAGCTCTGAGAATGGCGGAAACTTTGTTGTTTGTTCATGGTGAAAGGATGAAGGTTGGGGATGGCCAGATTTGATTGTGATTTTGTTTGAAGCTTCAATGGTGTTTTGAAGAATTTCTGGAAAAAAATAGTTGATGATGAAGAAGGATGGTGAGAGGGGCTGCGCAGCTGCAGATCTCGTGTCTAGGATTCTGTGCCCTCCTAAGGTTGAAGACAAACAGTAGTTTATATACTACCGGATCGACACGTGGCACAAGGTTAAGACTAATTAAAAGCTAAAATGAAATGTTAATCTTGGTCGATAGAATGAAAACTGGTTTAATAAATGATAAATGCGGACTTAATTAGAACCTAATTGAAATAAAAACAAATCTAAATTGTGTAATAAAAACTAAAGTCTAATTAAATTTAATTCTAATCAAATCCTAATAATATTAAAAAAGATTAATTCTAAATAATAAATAAATTATAACTAATCATAATCTAACTTAATTAATCTAGACTAACAATATATTCTAAGCTATTTCTAAAGAAGAGAACTATTCTAAAATCTTAAATCCAAATCTATTTTATAAAAGAAACTATTAAATTCTAATAACTATTTTCTAAAAAAACCAAATTAAGTTCTATTTCTAAAAACAACAAATATCTAACCATTAAAGTTCTAAATAAATCCAATCAATAATCTATTTAAAAAAAAACTATATTCTAATATTAATAATAATTCTAATAAACCCAAATTCTAACAAAAGAAAACTAATTCTATTTAATTTCTAGAAGCTAATAAAATTCTAATAAAATCTATTTTCTTTTCTAGTCTAAGCTAATTAATTAATTAATATTAAAATTATATTGTATTAGCATACCATAAAAGTTGAAAATATGAAACCAAAATAATGATAAATATATGCAAAAAAAATGCCACGTGACACTCTCTTACTGGGTTAAAAAGTGAAAATGCTCATTTTTGCTGAAAAATACGCTACACTGTATAACCGAGGTAAATTTAAAAACAAAGTCGAGCAAATGGAAATTTTGAAAAAGGTAGGACAAATTTGGGGTATAACACCAACCTCTAGAAAGACTCCATCAATATTACCCTTTATAGAAATCACAAAAATAGTTGAAGAATAAGCAGAGTCAACCTGTGAAGATTGAGCATTCTTCTGCAATTTTTCAGCACTCCTATGTGATTTTTTACTCATGATGTACTATTTTTTTCAGATACAGAAAAGCAAAATATCAAAAGGAAGGAAGATAACAGCAAATAGGGAAACAACTCAAAGAAATGTGAAGTTGACTCTTCAAGAATCATATGCTAGCATGCAAAAGAAAGTAGATTTTATCAAATGTTTCAAATCACTCACACACAACACTTAAGTGTTTAAGCTCCCAAGGGTGATAATGAGGATACATTCAAAAAGACGTTTGATATATGGGGCATTAAAAACACGAATCCCCAAGAAATTGAAACATTCACCTTTTCTGTTCAAAGATAAATGACAAAGCCATTGGAAACCAATGCTAATACAACAATCCTTTGCCTTGCCACAAATAAGCAAAAGATTAAGGGAAAATTGTTCTAGGCCAACCATATTGGTCCCGATCGACCACTCTAAAGGTGCTTTAATCCTTCCAAAATCTTCTTAGCGCACAAAAACTAACCTACCGATAAATACATAGGATCCAAACTTCAGGTGTATCCAACGACTCTCCGCAATCCATGCCTAACAAATAACATGTCGTTATTTCCTCTCCATTATATATAGAGAATGCGCAAATTCAAATACTCAGTTTCAAATTCAATTTTAATCCACTCTTCTCCCTCACATTCTGACTTAATCGTTAAAGTATTAAACTTATCGATCCTCACCGCCGCACTAGAACCTCAAATATGTCATTATCTCCAATCCTCACTTTATTTCTGTTTCCAGTTTAAAATAATATATATAATTTTTTTAATTGCAAATTAGATTAAATATTAGTACAAAAATAATTTTATATGTTTAATGCAGTCAAACTTAATAAAATAAAAGAATCAAAGTTTATTTGGACCAAAATATTCTCAATAAATTAACTACCTAAAAGACAATAAATAACATGGAAAATATTTTTGACAAATAAGTATAAGAGTGATATAAAGTAAATAAATTATCATATTTAAATTTCTAAGAAAAAACATTGACCAAAAAAAAGAGAAAAAGAAATTCTCACATTCCAACTCTTTTACCACTAACCCATATATACATGCAACTGTGCCAACATGTAAAATGGTCAGATACAGACACAAAGACACAGACACAGTCTTCCCCTTCCCATCCATAAAAACCCAATCCATCTCTCATATCACAATTCACACTCTTTTATCAAAAACCCTTTTTCCTTGGATTCTCTTTCACATTTTCCAAACACACAAAATAAACATCAACGTTAAAGAAACCAAAAACCAAAAACCAAACACAACACAACCTCAAAAAACAAAACATGTCATCATCCCCTTTCCCTTCTTGTTTCCGTCCATCTCCAACCACCGACGACATCCGTAACTCTCCACCACCTCCGCCGCCCCCGCCACCGCATTCCACCAACCCTAACCTCGCCACCTATCTTTACCAAACGGACATAGGCTTAGTTTCTTTGACTTGGTCACGTTCCATTCTCGGTCGTTCTCTCCACGTTCAACTCCATCACCATCCTTTCGATTCTCCACCGAATCCTTCTTCTTCCTCCTTCCATCTCCACATCAAACCCTTCGTTTTCTGGAAGAAACACGGAACCAAAAAGCTCTCTGCAAATACTCACTTGTTCTGGAACCTCTCCAAAGCCAAGTTCGGGTCAGGACCCGAACCAAACTCCGGTTTCTACGTCGCGGTTGTCGTCGACAACGAGATGACGCTTTTGGTAGGAGATTCAAACAAAGATGCTTACGCAAAATCCAAATCCAAATCCAAAGAACCGAAGAATAATCATAGTCAGTATTTGGTGATGAAGAGAGAGCATGTTTACGCTAACAAAATCTACAACACGAGAGCGAGATTCGGCGGTAAAATGAGAGATATTCAGATAGATTGCGGTGGGAGAGATCACTCGAAGCTTTGTTTCAGTGTTGATGGAGAGAAAGTGTTGCAGATTAAGAGACTGAAATGGAAGTTCAGAGGAAATGAAAGAGTTGAAATATCTGGTGTACCTGTTCAGATCTCGTGGGATGTTTATAACTGGTTGTTTGTGAAAGATAACAGCGAGGGACACGCGATTTTCATGTTCAAATTCGAAGAAGACGAAGAGGAACAACATCAACAACATCAAAGTAAAGAGAAAGGTTTGATGAATCTGTGGACACAGCAGAATATGAATTTGGGAGGTTATGAGATTGGGAAAATGGGTAAGAGTTGGTCTTCTTCGTCGGTTTCCATGGCTTCTTCAGGGGGATCTTTTGGTGCAAGTTCATCGGTGTTGGAATGGTCTAGTGTTGAGGAGAATGAACTGGTTGTTCCTGTTGGGTTTTCTTTGCTTGTTTATGCTTGGAAACGATGAATGCTGGTTTTCTGGTTTTTCTGGTTTAGGTTTTGTTCTGTTCTATGATGAATTTTCATTAGACAATGTTGCTGCTAACACCATACTAACACATTTGATTTGTGAACATAGAGATTGAATAAATCTAGTTTAGAATTTAGATGCTTTTGAGGTTAGATCTAACAGATTATTATTCTTTACAATGGAGAAGAAGAAGAAGAAGATCATAGATATTATCAGTAGCTGAATGTTGAATTGAAAGTCTTTGTATTTTTTTTATTTTTTTTACTTTTCACTTTGGGAAATTTGTTGCAATGTAATGTAACATTTTTTTATGTGTAACAAAATTGTGAGAATGAGAATCAAATTAATTTCATTTTGTTATTAGTAACTTAGGTAGAAAAGTTTAACCAAAATTTAGTTTTTCTTTGTGGTTGAATCTTGGTGTGTGCAATGTGTATAGTAGTTGGGTTGGATTGTTATTGGAATTATAAAAGTGGCGTGGTGTGGTGTGCATTCCAAGTATTGAACCAAATGACTTTGAAATGAGGAGGTGGAGTTGGGCCGTCGGATCAAAGATCGTGTGGTCTAGATCTTAAAACAGAATTTTATTTTTTTTAAATTATAATACCAAACTTGAAATCTGAATAACACCAAGACTGGTTGAACTAGTGAAATACATGTATGGAAATCTAAAATGTTTGATTTGATCAAGAACTCATGGAACGATTGAAATGTATGTCTGAAAATTCGATTCAACTCCATCATGATTTGACTAAACAACTAAAATACATGTGCGATTATCTGAATGGCTTGATCAAGACTTAATTGAACATCTAACATACACGTGTGAATATCTGAATTGTTCGATCAAGACTTGAATGAACAATTAACATATGCAAATATCTGAATTGCTTAATTAAGACTTGACCATATGACTAAAATATATGTGTGAAAATTTGAATTGCTTGATCAAGACCTGATTAAACGACTTGACTGAATAAGAATAATTAACATATGCGAATATCTGAATCACTCAATCAAGACTTTACTGTATGAGTAACATACATGTGTGAAAATCTGAATTGCTTGATCAAGACGTGATTAAACGACTGAAATACATGTGTGATATTAGTGTTGTGACCCGAATTGAAATACTTGTGCGGTATTAGGGTTGTGACCCGGATTGTTGGAGTGGAGGTAGGACCTATTCTTGATTTAGATGAATTGTTAGTTGCAAATGGCAGCTCAGGTAAAGGTTGTATATAGTTGTGGGCGGTAGACTTAGTGTGACCGATACAAAAAATGTGAAGTTGGTTGACCTAGTCCACCGTTGGATTCAATTGAAATTGAACGGTTATATTAGTTGACAACTCAACTAATACTCTTGTATATTTTCTAACTTTAAAGTGAAGAAACAAAAAATGAAATGATATAGGAAATTGGATAGAAGCGATGGTTGCGTTGCCTAACGGGTGGGTTGTTGATCGTGTGGACCACACAAGAGTTTGTTTTTGTGAAGGATGATAGATTAGATTCCACTGTTAGTCTTGTGAACACAAGAAATTTTAATAATTTAATTATAGGCTGTCTGCCAGCGATTTTTTGTTCACTAATGAAGCTTTTTGCTAGGTCAATAAAATAAAATTAACATTTCTTATTTAATGTATTTTCACTTTTTTTTCTTTCCTTTTTCTTTCAGTAATTAAGCATTGGTTCGGTAGAAAAAGTAATTAAGCATTGGTAAATAGCCGTTCATTAATATTGGTAAAGAGTTGTCATAATACTAGTAAATTATCAAAGTTTTAGTGTGATTGCCTTTTTATTTATTTTAGTATGAGTTTATAAATTATCTAAAAACTAAGAAGCTGAATGCATCTTCTTAAATATGCAAATTCTGAATATATATATAGAGCAATGCTTTTATACTGCATAAAAAGAGGTGATGGGTAAATGTCGTCTAGAGGGAGATTTCGCCTCGGCCTGTTGTCTTCTCTCGCCCATATGTTGGAAACGTGAGATAAGACCTTTTTTGGAGTAGAGAGAATGCCTTTAAACGTGAAGCTTTTTCTGCATAACTTTCATACGAGTGACAAAAGATTTTGATAAATCTAAATGTATTATATTTGAATTTTTCATTGGAAGGAAAAATCAATCTCTATAAAGAAATTGATTTAAGTGCAACAACTCGTATCATATATTCATATTCGTTCAAAATATTTATTTAAAAATTAAGTGTGTGGTGACTTGTTTTGTAAACAGAAAGTGGTGTGCTTTCTAGTTTTTGTTATCATCAACGTGTTTTGGTGATTGTTGCAAAATATCTTTTGAATCAGAGTGGTTTCAAATTCCACTATAGATTTTGAAGGGAAATTGAGATACAAGGCGCATCGGAAAACAAATATTTTTTCTTTTAGTTCATTCTTACGAATGATGCATGATCAGTGATAGAACAATTACATGTTGTGTTGATTAACAATTTGGTGCAGATCCGGATGAATGATCACAAGCGATGAACGATGATTAACACCTCTACTCAGTCCACACGAACAAATTACCTTCAATCTTAGTGCTAGCTGTTGCCAAAGAAGACTTTGAGTGAAAGAGAAAGAGAGAAATTACGGCCAGAGTTTCACAAACTAAATTTTATCAACTTTTTAAGTTTCTTCACAAGGACTCTATTTATAGAATCACTTGTGTGGGCAATAAGTTAAAAAAGAACAACTTAAGTACACCACATAATAATAATAATAATAATAATAATAATAATAATAATAATAATAATAATAATAATAATAATAATAATATATAGTGTTTCATAATTTTCTCAAGTATATTGTACCTTAAATTGTTCCTTATTTATTTTATCTCACGTCAATCTGTCTTTAAGCTTGTGACCATGTGGGTACTCGTCTGACAATTATATTAAATCAGACATTTAATATAATATGCAGTGAGCGGTATCTAGCAACACATCACTACTATCCAAGTCATGAAAATGTCACGTGATCTTACAAAACTTCTTTTTCGTGATAATGTTCTTGTATACAATTTCCCTTTTGCCCTTATGTATATATTGAATGTAAGGCATAGACCGTGTCACCCTTGTCCAGTTCAATATTAGACCCTTAGACATTTGTCCTATTACGCAAGATAGGCAAATTCCATCTAGGTCACTCATGTCTCTCAGCATGCTTTGTGGAGTACCCATAAACTGTCTTTATGGTCTTCTAGTTACGGACAATATTTGATCAACAATAAAGCACTCGACTCCACATCTAGGGTCAATAGTGGTTTCAGGTTGAAGGGTGGTATACACCATTATCACAATAAGAATAACTTATGACACTTTCACATAACTTTCTATGTAGTATTCTTATTGTGGGTCAATCTAGTATAAATATTACTCATAATATTCATACATATTTGAAGACTTGATAACTCTTTATTCATGATCCATGAGACGTGATCATCAATCTATCCACATAATAATTTCAACGCTTTAATGTCATCCCACTTCATAATAAAGCTCGACTACAGGTACTTAAAGAATGATATCCTTATATTTAATGGTATCTCATGATTAAGTCACACTTATCATTTCATTAAACGGACTTTATCATTTTGAAAAAAAACATAATAAAGAAATTTATTTTTAATTATTAATAAATAATTCGATACAAGTATCAAATTATTGACCTCTAGGACTTACACCAACAATCTCCCACTAGCATTAGAGCCAATCAGGAATACCCATAATACTCATAGATCTAGTATAACTATCATGCTTCTGTTGCGCAAAAGGCTTTGTCAATGGGTCAGTGACATTGTCAAATGTTGGTACTCTGCATATCTTCACATATCTTATATCCACTATCTTTCAAATGAGATGATATTGCCTAAGTATATGTTTGGATCATTGGCGAGATCTAGGCTCCTTAGCTTGTGTGATAACATCATTATTATCACAATAGATATCAATGTGATCCACAATGCTAGGGTACATGCCAAGTTCACTAATGAACTTTTTGATCCAAATAACTTCCTTTGCTGCATTTGAGGTACTAATGTACTCGACCTCGGTTATAGAATTAGAAACAATATCTTGCTTTGAACTTTTCCAATTCATAGTGCCACCATTTAAGCAAAACACATAATCAAATTGCAATCTAAAGTCATCCTTATATGTTTGGAAGCGAGCATCGTTGTATCCAATTTCAGTGAGCTCTTCCTGACCTCCATATATCAAGAACGAGTCCTTAGTAATTCCTAAGCACTTAAGGATATTCTTAATAGCAATCCAATAAGCATCACCGGGGTCAGATTGGTACCTACTCGTTACACTTAAAGCATACGAGACATCTGGTCGAGTATATAATATGGCATACATGATAGATCCTATTGGAGATGCATATGTAATTCTATTCATGTGATCCCTTTCTTCCTTAGTTGAAAGGGATTACGTTTTTGATAGACACATACCATGTTGCATATGTATGAATTCTTTCTTGGGAATCATGCATATTAAAGTGTCTCGACACTTTGTCTATGTATGACTATGACTTAGGCCAATCAATTATTGTGATCTATCTATATAGATTCTAATTCCCAGTATATATGCTGCTTCACCCAGGTCCTTCATAGAAAAGCATTTCCCTAGCCAAGTTATCACTTGCTGCAAGGTAGGGACATTGTTTCTAATGAGTAATATGTCATCTACATATAATATATAGAATATGATCATACTCCCACTAACCTTCTTATAGACACAAGGTTCATCCTCGTTTTTGATGAATCCATATTATTTTACCATTTCATCAAAATGAAGATTCGAGCTTCTGGAAGCTTGCTTCAATCCATAGATTGATCTACGTAACTAGCATATTTTTTGGGCTTCTTGTGGTATGTAAAATCCTTCAGGTTGTGTCATGTGCACATCCTCAAGAAGATTCTCATTAAGGAAAGCAGTCTTGACATCCATCTGCCATATTTCATAATCATGATATGCAGCGATAACAAGT